CCTCCAGGTGAAGGGGTGCACACAGACCTCTGTTCTGTGGCGCATGTATCACAAGCACTCTCACACCCAGGCCCTGAGCCAGAGCTTTGGAGCCATTCCCAGAGGCAGAGGGCACAGCCTCGCGGGACATTACCCCCTCAGACCCATCGCCGCTCGTTTTTCTCCTATCTGCATCTGCTGCACCCATCCCACCCTGCCCTCAGAACTCGTGACTAACCCACTGATGGAGTCGCTGCACAGGGAGACAAAATGGGGGGGTCACAGACCTCCGGTAAATGCTAATGTGACACCGAGGATGTTCTAGGCCTCACTCCTTTTCCAACGGATGCAGCCAGGAATCCTAATACTCACTTTGCCCCCCTCAAAAGGTGAGCTTCCACCCTCCTAAATCCACACAGCAACATGGGTCTCATCCCTGTCGCCACTCCTTCCCTTCTTTCCTTTCCCTGCCATTCCCTCCCCTCCGCTCCTCCTCTCCTTTCCCTTCCTCTCCCTTTTTCTTTCCTTCTTTCCCCTCCCTCCCTTCTCTCTTCCCCCTGCTTTTCTGGGGACTGGAAAAAGATTTGGAAAGGAAATAATCAATAGTGCTGGAGAAAATGCTGGGCCAACTTCTTTGTGCCTCAGTTTTCCCTCTGCAGAATGGGCAGCGTAGGGAGGGCCCTGCCAGCCCCTCTGTGCAATGTGTCTGTGTCGAGCCTTGTAGAACTGCATGCTGCGGGGGGACCAACTGGAGTACCTCCCGGGGGGCACACCAGATTGCACGGGGATCCCCCATACCCTGGAACCTGACTCTGCTGTGCAGGGAACAGGACCTGCGGCTCTTGGGGCCTCCACACAGCTGAGACACTCCAGAAGGAAGGACCTGCCACACCCGCCTTCGGGAGGCACTGGCCGGACTGCCCCCCTGTCTGCTGAAACAGAAGTTGCCACCACTCCTGAGTAATGGTGAGGACTCCTGGCTCAGGGTTGGGGAGGATGTTCTTCTAAGTGTTTTCCCCCAAATGACATTCTAGGTGATCACTATGCCCCCTGGCAGGGCTGGCCAGGGTCCCTGCTGCCATTTTACAGATGAAGAATGACGAGGGCTGTGAGCAGAAGCGAACCTTACCCTGTGCAGTTGTGGTGGTGGGAGGATGCTGAGGAGTGTGGGACACAATGGTTCCTCCCAGGAAAGCGGAGGGTCCATCAGAGACACATGAGCACCGTCCCCTCCGTCTGCTCTCCTTGCCCCACCTGCCCTGATGCTCTGATGTGAGGTCAGGGGTTACCACACCTTAGATGGCAACAGCCCCAGGGGCTAAGTCACCTGCCCAAGGCCATGCCCCAGGTGACCTGTGCTCTGGAGGAAAATCTGTCCTTCTTCTGAGTGACTCAGACAGCATCTAGGATCTGTCCCACTTCTGCTTACACAGATCCTGGCCCAGGCCCCTGCACACTCACACACACGCACTCATATAGGCCTTGCTGTCTCTCCAGTTTGTCCCCTCCCCTGCTCACCTTTAAGTCATGAACTTCCTAAGAATGGGACTTCTGACCACTGGCTTGACCTCTCTGAGCCTCTGCTTTCTCACCTGTACAGGGGGCACTGCACCCGGACCTTGAGAACTAAACAACAGAATTCAGGTTCAGGGCTCAGTATGCAGGCCTGGGACCTCAGCCTGGGAACGCCTGTGCAGCAGCAGCACAGGGGTCTGGGAACACCCAACAGCACTCAGACACACTGCTGTGGGGCCTGACCAGACCTTGCGCCCTGGCTCTCCGTTTGTGTCACTCCTCACCCACACACCACATTCTTTAGATAGGCGACACACCTATCTCCAGCCACACTGAACCTCCTGGAAGATGACACAACTCCTGTTGCAGAACTGGACACAGCGATGACCGTGCCACATCTGTGGCCCCCTGACCCGCTGCGAGATGGGCCTCTATTCCCTGCATTGCCTTCTCCATCTGTCGTCCCCACTTTGGCCCCCTCCAGTTGGCTTTGCCAGCCCCTCTCCCCCAAAGCCACTCAGCACAAGGCTACTGTGACCCCATCTTGCCAAGCTCTGTGGCGTGGCTTGGCCCTTCTCTCCTGTCTTTGCAGCAGGCTTTGTTGCATTGCTCGGCCCTCCTGGGAGTTCTGGCTTGAAGCAGACTCACTAGTTGCTCACCTTCTGGAAGAGGGAGCTTTAACAGATCTTTAAAGTGAATTGGTGTTCTAGGGGTGTAACCGACTCTGACCACACATAGTCAGAGCTCCCCATGGTCAAGGCCATAACTTTAAACATCTTCCAATGAGTGGGCCGGGGATGCAGCTCAGGTGAGAACCCCTGGGAGGGAAGGGAAGGCAAGGAGGTGATCTAGCTCTGGGCACATCACCCTGGATTAGGGGCCCATTTACAGATGAAGAAACAGAGACATAAAGCAACAGTTACCCTCCCTTGCTTGGGGAAGAAGGATGAATACAGTTTTGCCTTGTTCCAAAGACAAATTGCTCAACTATCGCCCTCTAATACCCTGGGGCAGTGCCAAGGGGCACAGGCCTCCAGGCAGGAATGGGCAGCCAGAACAGCCCCAGGACAGCCCCAGGTATCCTAACCTTCTTCACCTTCCTGTCTTGCCAGCTTGGTGTGCAGGGTGGCAGCTGAGCACTGTCACGTGCCCTGGGGGAACAGAGCCTAGTGAGGCCCACCCGACCACCCCAGGTGACAGCCAGCACACCAACCCCACCTTCTGCTCCTGGCACCACACTCTGCGCCTCACTAATCCCACTAGACTAGCCACTGCTGTGGAGAGCCCAAACAGGGTGTACTAATAGGGCTGTGTCCTATCGAGAAAAGCAGAAAGGAAAAGGGAAATACCCCAAAACATGGCAAAAAGGAGGACAGCTTACGAATGATTTTCTTGATTTTTCCAGTCTTAAAAATCATAAGGATGCAGTGGGAAAACCAAAGTCTTTGAAGTCCAGCGGACCCTGATTCAGATCCTGCGTCCTATTCACTGTGTGACCCTAGCAGGTCACGCCACTTCTCTGAGCCTCAGCTTCTTCACCTCAGCGCGGACAGAATCATCCCACCTTGCTCTTGAGGAGAGCTGAAGTCAGAGATTCCTGGTATCGTGCTTCGTACCTGAAGGAACTTGCCAGATACCACCTTGCTGGGCCCTGGCATTGAGAAAGGTGGGAGGCTCCACCTCGACAGGAAGAGCAGCTACAGCAAGGGCCAGTGAGCAGGACAGCAGAGGGGACACACGGCAGCCACACAATTTCAGAAAACCATCATAATTTGGTACTCAAGCTCAGGACAGTAGCAGAATAAAATATGCAAGGTCACATCTACATGGGTTTGATTACAGAAACTAATAAAGTATTCTCTAAATAATGAAAAAAAGAATAAGATAAGACTATAAGAGCAAGAAGCAATTTAAATATGTTCAGGAACCATTTTCATCTCCAGAATTAAGGATTATTTTAAAGTTACATCATTGCCTTTTCTCTTTTACTTTCCTTTTTAGTTTTATTTTAGGATTCCCTATTTTTAATGTTCATACAGAGATTTCTTTAACTGAAATACCAAATAGTTTCTTTGGTGTGAAAAACTATAATAGTACA